GCCGTCGCACAGCCGCGCTGCAGGGCCACGGTGGTGAGCAGGGCAGGATTATATTATTTATATATATTGTATGTAATGTCTTCTGTCGCTATTATTTTTAATTAGGCAGGCAGGAGAGGTGCTTCGTCTGTGAGGGGTCGGTGGGGGCCGCCCAGGCTCCGTGGTGGGGCCGGGCCCGGTGTTTGCGGCCTGCTCTGTGGCACCTCCGGCCGGGCAGGCAGCAGGGCCAGGCCGGGCCTCTTCCCGCTGCGGTTCTGTGCAAATAACTCTCTTTCCCCTCAAATTTGACAGCTGTTGAGGCCGCAGCTCCTGCCCCAATGCTCCCCCCTGCAGGTGTTACTGGCCCCTGGGATCTTCCCCTTCAGACCATCGTCCTCCTCCCCCAACACTGCAGGTGCTCCTGACCCACAGCTCGGGGTGGCCGATTTCTTACTTGCTTCAGTCTCAGTTTAAGTGTTTCTGCAAACCCTGGAGGCTCCAAACATCCACGTCCTCGGTGTCCTGAGGCTGGCAATAGCTCTGTCTCTCTCACTTTCTCTTTTTCTTGGTGCATAAAACACTCAGGAGAAAAAAAAGAAAAAAAAAATAAAAAAGGCCACACACACACACAAAAAAAGCTCCCTAGTGATAAGGGGCTGTTTTGATGTGGTTTTAGTGCCTGGTTTACTAACAGAAAGAGTTAGACTTATCACTAGGAATCTTGCAGTATATTTTAGTTCTGACCTGTGATCTTTCTTTTATTTGTTTACTTTTTATACCTCATTCTGTTCGACCAGTAATGTTTGGCCAGCCAAACCTTTATTTTCTGCCTGTAGTCAGTGTCCCATTTCAGTTTGATTATTTGGAGGTGTCGCCCTTGTGTTTTGGTTTGTAAACTTGTAGAGAGGCTTGTAAGTTTGTGGCACTTTGTTTGTTTGTCTCTCTCTTTTGCTTAGAGAGCAATATGTTAGTTTTTGTTGAAATCTTTGCCCTGTTTCCCAAAACTGAAATTTAGATGCTCAATAAGAGCGTTTGTAATTAGTTGCCTTCTTAAACTTTGTGGAACCTTAAACTGATAATTCAGAGGAAACTGGATAGAAAAGCATAGTACCATTGCCAAAATACCATAAATGTTCTGAAACATTCTCTTGTTTTAGTGCCCAAAAAACTTCCATAGTTAAATTATAATAGAAATATTTCCCAGAACTGTCACCTCTTTGAAATGTAGTTTTAAATTAAATCTGTTGCAGCCTAACAGCAAGTTTCAGCTAAAGCTCTCTGGTATCCCAGTCATCGTTCAAGCACGATACTGTGCTCTTACCTGCACTGACAGAGCAAAAGATGCTGAAAAAAAGAAAACAGCAGAAAATGTGTGGTACTTCCATGCCAGTGCAGTACAATCTAGGTTTGAACTGCCGCATTCTTGGGAACCAATATTTACAATCTTAATAGTCCCACTAATGCTATACTTTTAATTCCTCCTTAGCAACAGGTCTAGGTTTGCACAGTAGATTCTGGGATATTCTAGCACTAGAACGTGGTGTTATGAGATCGGAGGAAGTGCCCGGATAATCGAAGGGCTGACATTGCCATCTCACATCACATGGGGAAAATACAGCCTAGCGGTTGCTCAGAAGTTTTAGCTCTGTGGGTTTTCTCCCCTTCCCCAGAACGTTTGATCTTGAAGATGGTGAGTAGCCAGCCTAAGTACGATCTAATACGGGAGGTTGGCCGTGGCAGTTACGGTGTGGTGTACGAAGCAGTCGTCAGGAAGACCTCAGCACGCGTGGCGGTGAAAAAGATTCGGTGCCACGCGCCAGAGAACGTGGAACTAGCTCTGCGCGAGTTCTGGGCGCTTAGCAGTATCAAGAGCCAGCACCCCAACGTCGTTCACCTGGAGGAGTGCATCTTGCAGAAAGATGGCATGGTGCAGAAGATGTCTCATGGCTCCAGCTCCTCCCTTTATTTACAGGTACATGAGGCTGAGGGAATGGGGTGCAAATGATCATACGCATCTCTAGCTGCGGGGGGGAAAGCAGGTGGGTAGCTAAGATTATTATTCTTTTTAAGGTATGCTTAGTTAGGAGAGGCCATCAGAACCTCCGAAAGTTGCCTCAGATTTTTGGAACAACATGCTTATTGACCAAGCATCCTAATTTGTTAATTGGAAGCTGTGCCACTCCAGGACTCTTTCTTAATGCAAATCTGCTTTCTGTATTTGAGGAAAGGGCACAAGGAAGGCGCAGCGGAGATACAGGCTGTTGTATTCACTTGGTAGAAGCAGGAGTAATGGCTTGAGCCAGAGTGCTGCAGAATTCTTTAGTCTCAGCAGTCCTTGGAAGAGGAAGCAACTGTCTTGATTTAGGAAACCAGCACTTAAAATTCCTTAAAAATAAATAATAAGCAATTATGGAAGCATAATGATGCATTTTTATTTCCTATGTTTGGGGTAAATAGCTTTTAATCTTTTCAAAGAGGAGTAAAGGTCTAGCGTATGATAAATAATGGAGCAGAGCAATAAATGCCACTTTTTCCTGTGTGGCTACTGAAGGAGGCCTCTTAAGTTGCCTTTAAGTTTGAAGACATGCGTTGTAGAACAATAAACAAACTTCTCTGCGGGACCTTGGAAGATCATCTAGTTCATGCCCTTGTCAGGAAGTTGGCGTAACTATGAAATGTTCCCTTGCAGGTTCTTGCCTGTCTGGTTTTGGTGTTCACTAGAGTATAGATGTTTACTGTATTATTCCTAGTCAGCTTTTATGACCATATTTTTTTATTGTTGTTCTTGCATGCCTAATGTGGGACTCTCTTTTATTGAATGTTCATGTGATAACACTTTGTGGCTAGTGAGATCCCATCGTATTGGAAGGAGGATTCTTGCCTTTGTAGCACAGGGGCTGCTGCCGATATGCAGAGATTAGCATAAGAGAGTGTTGTTGGCTCATACAGGCCACGTTGGTGACTTACCTGCCTGCTCTTTGGCAAA